ACAGGGCAAGACCTGTCTCTAAAAAGGAGAGTAGTTATCTGCAGAAGATGGCAGGGCCTTGCTCCAAAATCCTAGAGGCCTCCACTGTGATTCACCTATGGGGACCTGTGAAAGGATCCAAACAGCATCTCCAGCTGCCACTGATTAGATGTCCTGGGTCATATGGCCCAAGTGACAGCGCAGCTAGCACAGCAGCCTGGACATGTTGCAAAGCCTTCTCTTGTTCTGTACCCCGCTCAAAACTGGCAGCCTTTCAGGTCACTGGATAAATAGGTTGGAGTAACACACCCAAATGAGGAATGTGTTGTCTCCAAAATCCAAATAGGCTCACTAGGCACTGTGCCTCTTTCTTGGTTGGAGGAGGTGCCAAATGCAGCAACTTATCCTTCACCTTTGAAGGAATATCTTGACAGACCCCATGTGCTGGACCCCTAGAAATTTTATGAGGTAGAAGGTCCCTGTTTTAGTTGTATTTATTTCCCATCCTCTGGCACTCAAAAGCAGCACCAATAAGTCCAGTGTGTTTGCTACTTCTTGCTCACTGGATCCAATCATCATGTCATCAATGTAATGGACTAGTGTGATATCTTGCAGAAGCAAAAAGCTATCAAAATCTCTCTGAATAAGATTATGATGCAAAGCCAGAGATTTGATATACCCCTGAGATAGGACAGTAAATATATATTTCTGGCCTTGCCAGATGAATGCAAATTCCTTCTGGTGGACCTTATGTGCAGCAATAGAGAAAAAGGCCAAGTCAATGGCTGCATACCATGTACCAGGAGATGTGTTAATTTGCTCAGTAATAAAACCACATCTGGTACAGCAGCTGCAATTGGAGTTGCCACTGGGTTAAGCTTACGATAATTCACTGTCATTCTTCAAAACCCATCTGTCTTCTGCACAGGGCAAATGGGAGAGTGGAACAGGGATGTGGTGGGAATTAGCTCCCCTGTGTATTTCAAGTCCTTGATGGTGGCATTAATCTTCACAATTACTCCAGGGAGGTATTTTTTTTTATTTAGTATTTTTCTAGGTAGAGGCAGCTCTAATGACTTCCATTTGGCCTTTCTCACCATAATAGCCCTCACCGTACCAGTCAGGGAGCTAATGTGGGGGTTCTGCCAGCTGCTAAGTATGTCTAAGCCAATTATGCATTCTGGCACTGGGAAAATGACCACAGGATGAGTCCGGGGACATATTAGACTCACTGTAAGTCGAACCTGAACTAAAACTCCATTAATTACCTAACCTCCATAAGCTCCTACTTTAACTGGAGAACCATCATGATGTTTCAGGTCCACTGGAATCAATGTCAGCTCAGAACCAGTGTCCTGTAGTCATCGAGATGTCTGATCATTTCCCTTTCCCCAATGAACAGTTTCCCTAGTAAAAGGCCAGAGGTCTCCTTGGAGAAGGGTGGCAGAAAGATTCACTGCCTAAATGGTCAGTAATATAGTGGTGTCTTTCCTCAAGGGAATACAGCCTTGCCTTCATTCAAGGTGTTTTGGGTCTGTAAGCTAAGTCAAGTATGGAAATTGACTGAGGTTGCTGTGATTCTGTTTTTATAATTTAAATTAGTCTTTTGTCCATTCTACTTTGAAGTTTTCTCCCTATATAAATTAAGGAAAAAGCAGCGGGCTTCCTACCAATGTCAATTCTAGGAATACCGTGGTTAATTAGCCAATGCCAGAGCCTCTACATGAGTCAGACTACTCTGACTGCTGCTTTGTCTCTGCTGTCCATTACGATAGCTATACCCACCTTGCCATTGATGATTGAGTGCCAACACTTGGCCCCTGACACTTCAGGATCCAGTTATTCCCACTGCATTTAAATTTTGTAGTTGAGTAACCATGGTTCCACTGTTAAATCTGACATACAGAAAAGAGCAATTACAGGGCTCTTAAAGATTCAAGTGCTGCCCTCACAAATCTATTTTGCAAGGCACTGGTCAAGGGTACATCTTCTGGACCCTCCCAGCTGGGATGAGTAGGTCTAAAGTGACTAATCCAGTCCATCATTCCAATCTCCCTAAGCCTTTGGATCCCTTCCTCTACATTAAACCAAGGGAGAGCAGGCATTAGCAGCCCACTCACGTGGGCCACCTATCAATCCATATTTCAGCTAACCAAGCAAATAAATTATTAGAACCTTTTTTTTTTTTTAACTTCCCGAGCTGCAACATTAAAAGCAGACTCCCTACTTAATGGGCCAAAATCCATAAATTCAGCCTCATCCAATGCTATGTTCTTTCAACCATTATCTCATATCCTTAATATCCATTCCCATGCCTGTTCTCCAAATTTTTGTTTATATAGAGAACTCAAGCAATTCTTTTCAAGTGTATCCCACTTCCTTATGGGTCACACTCTCAACCTCACCTCTAGGGTCCCTCTGCGACTTTAGTCTAGTTACAGGTCTAGAAGTGAACAGGGGTGTTGTAGGTTGCTCCTGAGGAGAATCAACATTATCTGGCCTGTCAACTGCCTCAGGCAGTGCAGCGTTTATCTCCTCAGACAAAGGTGGAAAGGCTGATGGCAGCATGGGCCAAGGAGGGGATATTGCCACCACTGGGAATAGGGAAGCTGTTCCTTCTGGAAAAAGAAGGTTCATCAGAGATTACAAACTCAGTGTCCCCAGGTTCCTCAGGGTCCTCCCACATGTCACCATTCCAAGTTGCAGGGTCCCATTCTTTTCCAATCAATGTCCTCACTTTAACAGTAGACATCTGGTGAGGCTGTGCATGTACCTTTCATTGCAGGTCAGCCACTTGCATGATAGAGGCTTATGTCTGTTTTTCCCCAATTTCAACTCTTTCTCTGCAGGAGATAAGACTCACTCTGGGCAATCTTAGCAGATTTGAAGCTCTGTATCTGCTTCTGAAGCTGGGAGACAGAATCTGTTGAGTTCATCACTTTCTTTCCTCACTTTGTCCACTGTACTTAGAAGCAATCAACCAGCTTGATTATGTTCCTTGGTTCTCCACATATGGTCAAAGGTATTATGTATAGAGTCACTAAACCCCTTGCCTCTCACAAGTGGTAAATAAGGAGTATCAAATGCATTTATTTTGTGTAACTCTAAAGAGTTCACGCCAAGGACTATCAGTGTTCTCCATACTATTAAAAGTACAGTCCTTAGTATTTTTGGGTCTACTTGTATTAAACAGTCAACTCCAGAAACTCCAAACCAATGAAAGAACTCTATCCTTAATATCGTGTTCCTCTAGAACCACTCCTGGTACCAAAATCTGTATTAGTCATGGTTCTCTAGAGGGACAGAACTAATAGGATACACACACACACACACACACACACACACACACACACACACACACACGTATGTATGTAAAGTGGAGTTTAATAGGATATATATATATATATGTATGTAAAGGGGAGTTTATTAAATATTAACTTACACGATCACAAAGGTCACACAATAGCTGTCTGCAAGCTGAGGAGCAAGGAGAGCCAGTCCGAGTCCCAAAACTGAAGAACTTGGAGTCTGATGTTCGAGGGCAGGAGGCATCCAGCATGGGAGAAAGATGTAGGCTGGCCTCTCTTTTTACATTTTTCTGCCTGCTTATATTCTAGCTGTGCTGGCAGCTGATTAGATTGTGCTCACCCAGATTAAGTGTGGGTCTGCCTTTCGAAGCTGACTGACTCAACTGTTAATTTCTTTTTTCACCACCCTCACAGACACACCCAGGATCAATACTTTGTATCCTTCAATCTAATCAAGGTGACACTCAGTATTAACCATCACAGGGGTTGTTCAGAAATGATTCTTATGGTGATAAGAGCTGTTTCATTTTAGGTACCTTAGGAAAGAACCTAGTGTATCTCAGAGTGTAACAACCCCACCATTTGTCTCCCCACTTCTAGTGCTCTTGGACAGTAGTCAGGGAAGACTGAGACCAGATGTTGCCCTCTTCCTCTGCAGGAGGTAATTGAGATTTATTTCTGGAAACTGGGAAGGCTAAGAATTGGCAAGATACAGGAAGGACTGCTGAGAGCTAAGTCCTGCTGATATTGGTGTGGAGAGATGACAGACCCTAGGGAAAAGGGAAAAAAGATGGTCATAGCAGAGGAAGGCGTTAAATAAGGAGAGCCAAGAAATGGAGAAAGGGGAAAAGTTAGTGAAATAGAGGAGGGTTTAATTATCTGTTCTTCAAATCAAATCCTGGAAGTGGTGGGGGGCATCCTGAAGGCCAAAACAGACAGGGCTCACATTCTGATCCAGAGGCTGAACATCTGCTCCCCCTTTCAACTATACAGATTGTAATAATTATCTATACCCTTTTAGTAAATATGCATTTTACTGGGGTCACTGTTTAGTTGCTCCGGAGAAAGGCAGGTAAGGCAATGTCAGAAAGGAACCTCTATTATTGGGTTTCCCACAGGGAGCATAAGATACCACATAGAGGCCTACTGACAGCAAGGAACATCTACATGCAGATGACACCATGATAGAAGAAACAGTAAGGTCACTCCACCTGCTCTGAGGAACAGATAAGGAATACAGCTACCTCTGAAAAGACAGGATCAAAGGCTTTAGGAAGGAAGTGGGAGTTGCAAATTCCTAAATGATATGGTCTCTGGATGGGTTCAAAAGGCAGCCTTTAAGCTTCCATGAGGGCTCAGGGCCAGTATTGCATTTGCTGCTATAGGGAAAAGGGGCAAGGTCAGAAATGGACCTTTAAGTCTGGGTAACATGAAGGATAGTCCCATTCATAACGACATTTGACTGCCCCTGGTTACAGGATCAAACATAGTCCTTGTGGTTCACTCTTCCAGAAAACTAATGGAAAGCCATGGGAAGCCCATAGGATGCCTAGGAATCCAACAGCAGGGTTGGCAGGTCAAGACAGGGTTGAGGTAAGCTGCCCCACACAAGGCAAATTCCCTTTATTTCACAATTGGCAAAACACACACACACACACACACACACACACACACACACACACAAAATGTAATGAGAGTTATGCCCAGAGGTGACTTTTTACTTCTTTTATTGAACTCCATAAATATTTTCATAAGGCTTTGTGTCATTACAACATTTTTTTTTGTTAAACATTTTTTTAACACACAACTTTGACACTTGTTTGACAGAGTCAAACAGTCAGATAAGAGAAACAAAAGAATAAACTGGCAAATGCAGAGCAGCAAGGGTAATCAAAGTCACTGTTGCCCATCCATCCACCCCAGCCCACCCCATCCCCAAAGCACTAAAAGATCACTATTTGGCTTCACACTAGAATTGTTAGAACTCTCTTGTTGCTGTTCTTACAGATCCATTAGAAATATACACATAGAGAGAGGGGAGAAAAAAAGAGAGAATAATTAGATGTCTGTCCTAGGACTCCCCACAGCAGGTCCCATAGAACGCATTAGCAAGGCTTCTTGGAGAGCAAATCCTAGTCTCGTTGAGCTGAGGAAAGGGGAGCTCAGGGCCATGCGGAAATGGGAGGATTACAGAATTCTTGGGGTTGCCATTGCTGTTGGGACACAACAGGTTCGGACACTGAACCCAGGTATTTAACTGAGCTCCCCTTGGGGCTGTTGGCCACTGGTCTGCTTTGATGCTATGGACTGAGGGAATACTCTAACCAATGGGGAGATGATTTCTTGTTGTTCACAAGTTACTGGCATCTCGTGAGCCCAGTAGGTTCAGTAGAGGAGAAATGAGGGTTGAGAGGTAACATCCCTGATCCTGGAGCCCTGGGTACAAGCCCCAAGGAGGGAGGAAATGAGAGGGCCTAGTCAAAAAATGTAGGCCCAGAGACTTGACCAAGCATCCCCTTCTGGTGTGCTGCCAACTCCCGGAGAAGCATGTCAAGGCCAAGCCTACTGAGGAGGAGTGCAAAGTAGAAAAAAGAGGTAAACTAAAGAGAGGCCTGCACAGCTACCAGAACACTCTGTTTGCCAGAGAGGACATTTTAGCTTGGGTGCTGGCCACCAGGTCCCTTGCTATGGAGGCTTATGTAGTTAGGTCATGTGCTGAACAGTGATGGCCAGTCCCGAGCCCTGGCCCTCTCCCCAGATCAGGCTCATCTTTGACTTATTATACAAGTCTGACTTGGTTGTGATAAGAGTAGAAGCTTAAACAGCTTATAATTGAATTCCCACAAAGAAAGGATTCCCAGGCTGGGCAATGCCTGGTCTGGATCAGGAGGCATAGAGCAGTAAACATACTAGCTATTGCTGAAGCCTCCACACAGTTATGGCTGCTGGTTGGTAAGCTGAGGTCCTTTCATGATGAAGTCTTCTCCCATGGGGTTTAGGACAGACTACCAATCTCCAGATTCCATGCTACAGTGGCTTGCTCTCCACAGAAGAGTTTATCTTTATTCCTTTATGCCCCATTCTTTTTACTGTTCAAGGTCTATCCATGAAAAGGGCCATGTGTGGAGGAAAAACAAGTACTGCTACATCCATAGGAAGCCTGCCTCACTGTGAAAAAAGTTAGATTTTCCCAAGCAGAAAACTGGCCAAAAGTGAGCCTGAGGGTTCACTTTTGAGTCCCTTCCTCAGACTGCTTATTCAGAGGGAAAATAGTCCCTGGGCCCTTACTCACTTGCCCAAATGTCCTGGGATGAGAGGGTAAGAGGATGTTGGAAACAGGGCCTTCTCTGAGTGCCAGAACAGCTTTAACTATATCAATACCAAAAATCCTCATGTGCTAGGATGGCAGGAGAAAGAAGAAAGAGAGAGGGAAAGAAGCCAGGTAAGATTGTCCATGCAATCTGTTAACAATGGGAGAAGTCACACAATTTTGGGGTGGTAGAAAATGCAGGTACAATACTGTGGATCAAGGCTATCTCTTTCCATGCCCATCCCTGTTCTTTCCTGTAAAAGGTTACTATCGGTCTTGGACCCTATCCAAGTCAATAATTTGAAGGTAGCTGATGATCTTGGTCAAGTGAGCTCTGTCGTAAAACTCCTCCATACTCCTATCAATGCTATCCAAACATCTGTAAATGGGAGCAGAAACAACTAGGACACTGAACTGATTGCTTTAGGGATCCCTGCCCTAAACCGATTTGGTACTGGGAGGCAGGTAAATCCCTCCCCTGGGAGGCAGAATCTCAACTTCTTTGCTTCCAGTTCAGATCTTTTCGGCTAAGGGAGAGACAGGCCTAGGAGGATACCTATAACAAAAGTGGCTTGGAAAAAGAGAATAACTGGCTCAAACTAACTCCTAGATGCAAAATTGCAATGACCCAGCAGTGCTGCAACATGAGAACCCCTAGCGATAGAAGAAACAGCCCAAATGCAAAATGTTTCCTAAACAGAAGTCCACTCCAGCATCATTATAGTCTGATACTCCCTTGCTTCTATTTGGGTGTTTGATCCCTCCATAGTACCTAAAACACAGTAAAAGCAATAGGAATACCGAGCAGTTATATCACAGGGCACAACAGAACATGTCCAGACTGGCATGACTGAGGACAGAGGATACTGGAAAAAGGTCATTTGGGGGGAACTGCAGGGCTGAAGGAGCTTCTGCAAATAATTGGCTGAGGGAGAGGAGAAAGGAGATCATCCCCTTCCTCAATGAAAAGTAAAAGAGGGGAAAAAAACCCCAAACCCCCCAACTCTACCACATCAAATAGAATTAAAAATTCATCAACATTAGTATCATCAGAAATGAGAAAAAAAAATACGAACACATCTGTGGTAATAATGACAAGTCAAGGAATCACAGGGGAGCAAAGAGATTATTTTAACAAGAAAATAAATGACTAGAAATGTCAATCTCTGAAAGCAAAGGGAAGAGGGACAGGGTAAAAACAAAAAACTTTTAAGACAGGATCACATGTTTGGAAGTCATTGATATGTCTTCCTACCAACCACAGATTTTACTTCCCCAAAACAACAGAAAATGCTTTTGTTCCTTCTCTCTCTCTCTCTGTGCGTGTCTGTGTGTGTCTGTGTGTGTGTGTATATTCAATCAAGGGTCTCTGTGTGTGTGTGTGTGTATAAATTTCAACAGTGCTTCTCCGAAAAAAGGTCCATCTATAAATATAATTTTATTTACTTTATTTTAAAATTATCTGCCTCCCTGTAGGTATCATTTTTTGAATGGGGTTAACCTGCTGAAGTTTTGCCAGAATGGTGACTGGCTGCGCTTGGGTTCGGTGAACTCAAAGACCTGCGACTGAGCGATGCCATCGGGGACCAGGTACTGGCCGTGGTTTAACGGGTCCTGTGGTGGTGGGTAGGAAGGAGGAACTGAGCGGGCAGAGTTGACACCTAGAGTAGATGGGAGATCAAAGGGAAAGGGTGTTAAGTTATGTAACAAAGTGCTTCTCAAATTACCCAGTGACCACTCTGGGCGGACAACTGAAGGCACTGGTTTAGATTGTGTTAACTGGAATTACAAATCATCTAAGGAGATAATTCCTCTTTCAAGCAGATTTTGGAATACCATAGCTATTACTGCAACCCCACACACTTCCACATCTAGTCAGGTATCAAAGAAATTTGGGGTGTTTCTATCATCTATTTTACAGATGAGAACACTGACATCTAAAAAGAAATGTCATACTCAAAGTCACATGGTAAGTTAGTGACAAAGCAAGGGTCAGAACCTACATTCTTTGACTTCTCAGTTCAGAGCTCTTTCCAAGAGACTAGAATCTCTTATGCAGGGCTTGGTCCTGCAAATAACCCAACAAACTCCATTTAACTCCAACGGTCTCGGTTTTCTCTTTCTGTAAGTCCCCCCTGGAAGTTTTAAAAGAGCCTGGTTAAGAACTATCGACTTCAGAATAGGTTTCTGGGAGAAATTTTCTAAAACCATAAGGTAGCGTTCTAAAAGCATAAGGTTAGTGTTCTGTCCTGGGTTGAGAGTGAACCTGCATTTAACAGGGAATTGAATCAGTAGGGGAAAGAGAAAGTAAACTTAATACCAGAAGGTATAATTTATGGGGAGCAAGAAAGACGGAATATATGCATGTCTTTCAAACAGAATAGCTTAAATGACACTAACATTAAAACCTTCTCAACATTTGTAGGTAGGTTTGCAACCATCAAAGCAAAACCCACATTAATGGAGGACTCCAGGAACCTGGAGGCCTAAAGTGAAAGTTTAATGCTGATCTACATTCAGAGCAGAATACAATGAGACATACAGCATATGATTCAGACATGCAAGGAAGGCTTCTCTCTGCTGCTCCCAAATACCTTCCTCATCTGCTACTCAGTGTCCGGAATTCCAGCATTACAGTTACTTTGTTTGCCTTTGCTTGATGACTAAATCCCATTACCCTGGAAGTAGTATCATTTAAGCCATCATCAGCCATTGGCACTTCAGTGAGAAAGATCAGATTCTAAGAGCTAGTTTTGCAAGGTGGTAAGTGTCAGAAGCTTGAGTATACTGAATGCCAACAGACAATACAGAGATATTAGGGAGTTTTGTGAGTACTAATTGGATATTTTTAAAAAAGCTTTTATTTGAAATTATTACAGGTTCACATGCAATTTTAAGAAATAATACAGATCCTGTGTACTCTTTACACAGTTTTCCCAATGGTAACATTTTGCAAAACTATAGTACAATATCACAACCAGGATATTGACATTATAACAGGATACAGTCAAGATATAGAGCATTTCCATCATCACAAGGATCACTGTTGTTACACTTTTATAACCACCATCTTTTCTGGGTACTTATCTAAAATAAAGGAAATGAGTACGTTGAAGTGATATTTGCAGTCCTATATTTATCACAGCACTATTCACAATAACCAAGATATGGAATCAACCAAAGTATCTGTCAGTGGATGAATGGATGAAGAGAACATGGTCCATATACATGGTGGAATATTATTCAGCCACAGAAAGAATGAATTCCTATCATTTTCTGCAACATGGATGAAACTGGAGCTCATAATGTTAAGTGAAATAAGCCAGGCACAGAAAGACAAATAACAAATGATCTCACTCACATGTAGGAGCTAAAAAAGTGGATTCCATGGAGGTAGGAAGTATAATGATGGTTATTAGAGGCTGGGAAAGATGGTGTTAGGGAAATGAAGAGAGGTTGATTAATGGATACAAAAACACAGTTTGATAGATGGAATAAGTTCTAGTGCTCAGTAGTACAGTAGGGTGACAGTAGTTAACAATAATTTATTGCATATTTCAAATAAATAGAAGATTTGAAATGTTCCCAACACAAAGAAATGATACATGTTTGAGGTGACAGATATCCTATCCTAATTACCCTGATTTGATCATTAAACATTGTATACATGTATGAAAATATCACATGTACTAAATAAATATGTACAATTATTACATATTAATAAAAAATAAAAAATCAACTGGGCATATTTGTATAGGTCTATTTCTGGGTTCTGTGGCATTGATCTAACATGTTCACCCTTCTGCCAAAATTACATTGTCTTGGTTGCTGTAACTATATAATGAGTGTTGAAACTGGGTAGATTGATTACTCATGTTTTATTCTTCTTTTTTGAGATCATTTTAGCTATTCTAGGGGGCTCATTTGATTTTATGCTGGCCCCAAAGCCTCTGAAGATGAAGTCTGTGCTCATAGCCATGGGGAGCTCTATACTGGCCAAATGAATTAGGATTATGGACCAGGAATTAGCATATAACTTTCACAAAGTTATATATCAATTCTTAAAACCAAGGCAGTGTGAAAGACAAAGGTCAAGTGAAAAGGCCTTTCTTGGAGCCAGATCTGGTATTCTATACTGTTATTTCAGCCAGGTTACCCCTCCCCCAGAGCAGTAGACTGAGTTGATAATATCCCAGTGTTATAGATGGGGTTGGGATGGGATCCTAGAGTAGTTACCCATCTGATGACATCTGCATTGGAGAGCTCTTAACAATGCCCCCACTTCGTGCGATGGGTCATTGAAAAGGTCAAGGAAGCCAGCTTTCATGATTAACTGAAAGAACCTCTTCTTGCTCTTCCCATGTACATATTGTAACTAATAAATTCCTACATTTGAGAACCACTTCCACATGTATAGCATCTCAAAATATATTAGTTACCACAGCCCTGGACTAGGAGAGTCTTGAAGACCAAAAATAAAAATAAGAGAGGAGATTTGTAGTAATCTTGGGAGGTTTGAAACTAAATGAGGGCAGGTGCAGTGGCTCATGCCTGTAATCCCAGAACTTTGGGAGGACGAGGTGGGCAGATCACCTGAGGTCAGGAGTTCGAGACTAGCCTAGCCAACAAGGTGAAACCCCGTCTCTACTAAAAATACAAAAATTAGTCAGGCGTGGTGGTAAGCACCTGTAATCCCAGATACTTGGGAGGCTGAGGCAGGAGAATCACTTGAACCCAGGAGGCGGAGGCTGTAGGCGAGATCACATCACTGCACTCCAGCCTGGGCGATAAGAGTGAAATGCCATCTCAAAAAAAAAAAGAAAAAGAAAAGAAAAAAAAAGAAAGAAACGAAATGATTTTCTTTGAAGACTTTAGAATTGCTGTCAAGGAAAGAAGCAAACTGCTCAACTAAACTAGTATTTAGACAAGAGAGGGCCTAAAAGGAATAGCCTGGAGATACATAGGGTGGGGAAGGACTGTGAGCAAAACACTTGGCATGAGTTAGCAGGGCTATCTTCTGGTTAATCAACTCCTGGTTGCTTTGTGGATATTCCTTTGTTTGAAGTGTTCTCAGTGAAAAGGCAAGTCAGTCTCAGATATGCTTGAGGAACCTGGGCTGGGATAATGGAGTACCATAAAGGTCAGCATGGTGGATGTGATGGTTAACAGTGTCAACTTGAATGGACTGAAGAATGCACAGTATTGTTGCTGCATGTATCTGTGAGGGTGTTGCCAAAGGAGATTAACACTTGAGTCAGTGGACTGGGAGAGGCAGACCCACCCTCAATCTGGTTGGGCATCATTTAATCAGCTGCCAGCATGGCCAGAATAAAAAGCAGACAGAAGAACGTGGAGATACTAGACTGGCTTAGCCTCCCAGGATATATCTTTCTCCCATGGTGGATGCTTCCTACCCTCAAACATCAGACTCCAAGTTCTTCAGCTTTGGGACTGGAACTGACTTCTTTGCTCCTCAGCTTGCAGATGGCCTATTGTGGGACCTTGCAATCATGAGTTAATACTCCTCTATGAACTCAGATAGATAGATAGATAGATAGATAGATAGATAGATAGATAGATAGACAGACAGACAGATATCCTTTTAGTTCTGTCCCTCTAGAGAACTCTGACTAATACAGTGAGGGAAGTAAAGGAAATCAGAGTGAGGAAGTTCAGGACCTGAGAGCATCCAGGAGACAATGACAAGCTGTTTGGACAGTATTCCTTTTCCACCTGAAAACTCCTCAGGTGGCTGGGGCTCTTTTCTACTCACATCTCTGTCTGAGGAATTGGAGCAAAATCTTATAGAGTTCTGTTAATACAGGTCAGATCCTTACTGACATTATCTCCAGATTGCTTTCTAATACCATCTGTCACATGTTATTATAGCAATCAAAAGGTTGGGAGTTAATTCGCAACCTTAAATTAACTCCCAACTTTTTGGTGGCTAATTAAGACTGGCCTTAATTCCCTATATAAGGGGAATCATATTCCCATGATGAGGAAAAGAGACAATAAAGGCATCCCAAGAGCTAGAATAAGCAGTTGAAGGGAGACATGTCTAGTCAGCAGAGATAGGTGCACTGCTTAACTGGAAATAAAATATTCACAGGCATTCAGCCTCAATTAAAAAGAGCTTTAGGCCAGGTGCAGGGGCTCACACCTGTAATCACAGCACTTTGGGAGGCCGAGGTGGGAGGATCATGAGGTCAGGAGTTCGAGACCAGCCTGGCCAACATAGTAAAACCCCTCCTCTACTAAAAGTACAAAAAAAAAATTAGCCGTAGTGGTGGCGGGCACCTGTAATCCCAGCTAATCTCTTGAATCTGGAAGGCAGAGGTTGCAGTAAGCTGAGATCACACCATTGCACTCCAGCAGTCCCTGTGACAGTGTGAGACTCTGTCTGAAAAAGGAAAAAAAAAAAAAAAAAAAAAAAAAAAAAAAAAAAAAAGGAACTTCACATGGCTACTGGAAATTTCAGGATATCTGAATCTGATCATTTTGGATAGTGACTCATTCAATACTACAAAGCCCATTGAGAAAACAGAAGGAAAAGCCTGGGGAAAGCAAGGTCTCATTAAGATTGGCTACCCCTGGGGACAGTAAAAACGGCTATCAGTAATAGAAGCAGCTGTCAGTAATTGAAGCAAGACAGAAAACTAAACTCTTCTTACCAAGCGTGGGGCATCATCAGGACCCTGAGATGGAGAGGAGAAAGCAGTGAACTCTGAGTAAAGCTGAAGTAAGCTCAGAGTTACTTCACTCAAAGACCCTCAGCAACCTCATCTAACAAATGGAGTTAGCAGTGACTGCCTTCTCAGGATTACCATAAAGATGAAATGAAAGAACTTACATAAAGTGACTAATAATGAATAGGTATTCTAATAAGCAGAAAGTAGTTCCTTCCCTTTGTTTGGCTGAGCATCATAGTTTTGTTCTGGTTCATGAGAAAAGAGAAACTAAAGCTTTACTTCAGATTTAAATTGATTTGCAACGTATTTTTTCTTAAGTACTTTGGCTTGTGGTTACCAGAAAGAGAGAATACCTGAATCTTTTGTCTTGGATCAGTTTGAGGTTCTTTATTGTGATTTGGGGCTCCTGATTTGGCACATGTCCTTAGACCAGTGACAGAAAGCTGAATAATCTCTTTATACTTATTGTGTGTGTGTGTGTGTGTGTGTGTGTGTGTGTGTATGTATACACACACATTATTGACCATCTGCCTCTAAATTATTAGTAAAGTTTCCCTGATTTTTAAATAAAAATAAACAGAGGTTTGATTTTTTGCTGTACTCAATGAGCTATCTTTGGACACTCTGGACACAAGTACCCTGTACGATTCACTTCTTAGCCTTAAGCATTGAAAACCATTTGCTATCTGTCATCAAGGATACCTAGGGACATGAATACTCCTCCACCACCCCCAAGTAAACCTCAGCACAGAAATGAGCCTACGAACATGTAAGCATGTAGCTTATGATTCCACAGTCTTTAACAGAGAGTCAGTGGGGCTGAGGAGGTAAAGACAGCTTTACCTTTTTGCTTAGGGACTTTTCTCACAGTCATTGCAGCCTGCCTCTTCTGATTTTCAGAAATTTCAAAGCCTAAAAAAGAAAAATATATGGTTTTTAAAATGAGAAACACATACTCTTCTTGAGTGTATAAATAAGTAAAACTTTTCTGTAAGCAAGATTTGGTAAGACATATCAAAAAATCTTGAAATACCCCCCCACCCCCCAAAAAAAGAAAAAGAAATGGCATTCCCTTTAACCTAGTAATTCCTTTCTAGGAATTTAAGGAAATCTGTTACAAACTTGAACAAAAACTTAGCTACAAAATTGCACATCACAAAATAGAGAGCCAAAAAAAGAATTGTGAACATGGGCTAAGGGCCTGTTAAGTGGAGAATGGTTAAAGAAAGCATGGCATAGTCAAAGAAATATTGTGTAACCAAAAGCAAAATTATAAAGAAAAGGACATAATGAGCCAAAAGATATAGTTCAAACAGAAGATGTATATATAAATAATAAAAGTTTCAAAAGGAGGAAAAAAAAATCAAACGGAAGATAGTAATAAAGAAGTAACAAAAAACTTGGCTAAGGGAAAAAATATATATACTTACTGTGGAAAGAACAAAAGGTCTTGCTAAGCCCAAGGCAGGATGAGCATGCATAGATGCACACCTAGGTATTGACTAGTGGAATTCCCAAACTTCAGGATAAAAAAAAATCTGACAAGCTTCACAACAGAAAGGATAGCTTACTTAATGAAAAAGAGACATCATAATATTACTTAGTATTACTAGAATCCTCATCTGAAACATTGGAAGTAATAGCTTTTATTTTATTTTATTTTATTTTTTTGCTCTGTCACCCAGGCAGGAGTGCAGTGGCATGATGATAACTCACTGCAGCCTTGACAGCCCAGCCTTAAGCAATCCTCTGACCTTAGCCTCCTGAGTATCTGGGACCACAGGCTCGTGCCACCACGTGGACCTGGCTAATCATTTTAAAAATTCCTTATTTTTTGTAGACATGGGGTCTCCCTGTGTTTACCAGGCTGTCTTGAACTCCTGGGCCCAAGTGATCCTCCCACCTCAGCCTCCTAAAGTGCTAGGATTATAGGCACGAGCCACTGCACCCAATGTAATAGTCTTCTGAATAAACCCTGGATCAAAAGGAAACCATTCCTGAAGTTATAAAATGTCTAAAAATGACTAAAAAGGAAATTTTATTTTATTTATTTTTTTAATTGTACTTTACGTTCTAGGGTACATGTGCAGATCATGCAGGTTGCATTGGTACACACATGGCAATGTGGTTTGCTGCCTCCATCCCTCTGTCACTTATATCTGGCATTTCTCCTTATGTTATGCCTCCCCGACCTCCCCATCGCTCCCACTGTCCCTCCCTTGCCCCCACCAACAGACCCCAGTGTGTGATGCTCCCCTCCCTGTGTCCGTGTGTTCTCACTGTTCAACACCTGCCTATGAGTGAGAACATGTGGTGCTTGATTTTCCGTTCTTGTGTCAGCTTGCTGAGAATGGTGGTTTCCAGATTCATCCATGTCCCTACAAAAGACACGAACTCATCGTTTTTTTATAGCTACATAGTATTCCATGGTGTATATGTGCCACATTTTCCTTGTCCAGCCTATCATTGATGGGCATTTAGGTTGGTTCCAGGTCTTTGCTATTGTAAACAGTGCTGCTATGAACATACCTGTGCATGTGTCTTTATAATAGAATAATTTATAATTAACAGAGATATAGACCAATGGAACAGAACAGAGGCCTTGGAGGCAACACCACACATCTACAACCATCTGATCTTTGACAAACCAGACAAAAATAAGCAATGAGGAAAGGATTCCCTGTTTAATAAATGGTGTTGGGAAAACTGGCTAGCAGTGTGCAGAAAGCAGAAACTGGACCTCTTCCTCACACCTTATACTAAAATTAACTCCAGAAACATAAGATCTAACACCATAAAAATCCTAGAAGAAAATCTAGGCAAAACCATTCGGGACATAGGCATAGGCAAGGGCTTCATGACTAAAACACCAAAAGCATTGGCAACAAAAGCCAAAATAGACAAATGGGACCTAATTAAACTCCAGAGCTTATGTACAGCAAAAGAAACAATCATTAGAGTGAACCGGCAACCAATAGAATGAGAAAAAATTTTTGCAATCTACCCATCTGACAAAGGGCTGATATCCAGAATCTACAAAGAACTAAAACAGATTTACAAGAAAAAAACAAAAAACCCATCCAAAAGTGGGCAAAGGATATGAACAGACACTTTTCAAAAGAAGACATATGAAAAAATGCCCGTCATCACTGATGATTAGAGAAATGCAAATCAAAATCCCATCGAGATACCACCTCATGCCAGTTAGAATGGGGATCATTTAAAAAATCAGGAAATACTATATTAAAAACTATGGGATACAGTTGAGACTTTATTCAGAAGAAAACATACGCTAAAATGATTTTATAATTTTGTAAAACTCAAAATAAACAAAGTATTCAACCAATGAAACAGGGAAAGAATCTAAAATATTTTTTAAAACCTTAAAGAAAGTAGAAAAAATAAAACCCTAGAAGAAAATCTAGGCAAAACCATTCAGGACATAGGCGTAGACAAGGACTTCATGACCAAAATACCAAAAGCATTGACAACAAAAGCCAAAATAGACAAATGGGACCTAATCAAACTCCACAGCTTCTGCACGCCAAAAGAAACAGTCATTAGAGTGAATCGGCAACCAACAGAATGGGAAAAAAATTTTGCAGTTTACCCATCTGACAAAGGGTTGATATCCAGAATTTACAAAGAACTAAAACAGATTTACAAGAAAAAAACAAACACGCCCATTCAAAAGTGGGCAAAGGATATGAACAGATACTCTACAAAAGAAGACATACATGAGGCCAACAAACATATGAAAAAATGCTCATCATCACTGGTCATCAGAGAAATGCAAATCAAAACTACATTGAGATACCATCTCACGCCAGTTAGAATGGCGATCATTAAAAAATCTGGAGACAACAGATGCTGGAGAGGATGTGGAGAAATAGGAACACTTTTGCACTGTTGGTGGGAGTGTAAATTTTATTTCAACCATTGTGGAAGACAGTGTGGCGATTCCTCAAGGACCTAGAAATAGAAATTCCATTTGACCCAGCAATCCCATTACTGGGTATATATCCCAAGGATTACAAATCGTTCTACTATAAGGACACGTGCACATGAATGTTCACTGCAGCACTGTTTATAATAGCAAAGACCTGGAACCAACCCAAATGCCCATCGACGATAGACTGGACAGGGAAAATGTGGCACATATACACCATGGAATATTATGCAGCCATCAAAAACGATGAGTTTGTGTCCTTTGTGGGAACATGGGTGAACCTGGAAACCATCATTCTCAGCAAACTGACACAAGAGCAGAAGATCAAACACTGCATGTTCTCACTCATAGGCGGGTGTTGAACAATGAGAACACATGGACACAGGGAGGGGAGCACTACACACTGGGGTCTATTGGAGGGAAATAGGGGAGGGTCAGTGGGGGTGGGGAGTTGGGGAGAGATAGCATGGGGAGAAATGCCAGATATGGGTGATGGGGAGGAAGGCAGCAAATCACACTGCCATGTGTGTACCTATGCAACAATCTTGCATGTTCTTCACATGTACCCCAAAACCTAAAATGCAATTAAATAAAAAAGAGGTAGTAAGGGGACAGAAAAAAAATAAGATTCTGTCACCTTGGCTTTTCTAACTAGACACATTAAATAAAGGCTGGAAATATATATCAAAATGTTTATGAAAGTCATTACTGAGTATGTTCATGTGTGATTTTTACTTTTTTCTTGTATTTTTCTGTTTTTTTTCCCCAAATTTCCTACAATAGAAGTGATTTGTTGTTATTATCAAACAAAAAAAATCCCTCAATGTTTTCAAAGATGAACATATGCCTGTTCAGAAAATAATTTCTAGAAGCTTTTCTATTAGAAGCAGATAAAGTCACAGGGTTATTAGGGCACTGTGTGGGAGGAGACATAGTGTTAGAGCCAACGGGAATGGCAGGGGCTGTCTAATTTATTCAGGGTCTGAACACTAAGACCATTCTTTTAATACCTCTAACAGCCTAGGCAGGGTCAGTGGCTGCTGCTGCTTGCCTTTGAGAGAGGTAGCCAGCAACATTTATAAACCACTCCACATTATGCCCCAGTGCAGTGTCCATATGCTAAAAGCAATCTGATTCCAATGAGACTCAAAGTGAGTTATTAATGTACACTCTACCCAAGTTCTGAGGAGAAGACTGGAATTAGACTTGTCTTTCTGACCATCCTTCCTTACCTCTGGAAAATTTCAATCCCCAACATGGAAGGATAAGAGAACCCTTTCACATCAGGATTCAATGAGTAGGCTCATTTTTCTAGAGAAAATTTCTGCCAACTTGAGCATACAGGCGTTTTAAAGTGCAATTTCACTCCCATAAGCAATGGGGCAAATACAGAAACTGTATGTCTTCTCTGGGAGTTAACAAGCCTGGTTGCTTGGTATTTTTTATGACAGAAAGGCAGGACCATGAGCAAGAGACCAAATAGTACTTTGTAAGCCAGAAAGTTATAACCAACGGTGTCTAAATCCCACAATTGGGAAGCAGCATGCAAAATAAATCTACTATTTATATCCCCTCTGGAAAAGAGAAACAATCTATTGTAAGGCAAAAAGTATGTTTAGGTGTAATTTGAAATCATGCAAATGGTCATGGTTTTAGGTCCTGCTACATTTTCTATAATTTACATCCACACAGATAGTGTGACATGTATGTGTATATTATTTTAATCTACAATCTAGGGGAATTTAGTTAACATCTGCAGTATCCTAATCAAAAGTACAAACTATATACCTAATGACAGAGGGTTGAGGCTTTATGAAGATTACAGAATAGGTTGTATAACTGATTTTTGTTTATTTGCTAATAAGTATTTGTATATTTGGGAGAATCAAGCCTGAGGCTGGCTTTCAGTGTGATATTCTTAGCTGGTAGGGGAGGACAACCTATAGTTTCCACCTACCACTGACTAATAGAAGCTGTTGGTACTTACCAAAAACAACCTAATAATAAGGAACCACCAAAGTAACTTAAGTCAGTTTGCAACAGAAATCTTCCCTCTGACTCCAGGAAAATGGAAACCAATTCAAACCTCCTATGCTCTTCATAGCCATATTCTTCTTTCTACTCTCAGGTCACTTACCGATTTTTTCATCTTCCTGTACCATTTTCCTCTCTTCTCTGAAAGCCCTGAGCCAGCGTATTTTTTCCTCCAGCTTCTTGGCAAAGAACAGATGTATCTCCTCAGTCTCCTTGTTGTGAAGCTTGAAGGCATTCTTCATGCTGACATTAAAGTCATCATCTCTGCCATCCTCAATGTCAACCACCTCATATTTATCCATGTCAATGCGGCCTTTGTAGTACAGGATATCTCTCCGGATTAGGTCCTAGATGGGAAGGAAGAGGTTTCTTAAGATATGTGCAGGGTGGGTTCTAGAAGAATTGGCATATGGGCACAGGAAAATGCTAACACTGTTACTGTTTTGAAGTACCAGTGGGGGTTGGTTTCTTACAAATTCGGCCAGATTATATTAGCAGTCTGACATTGGCAGGTTGGTTAAACAAATGCCCCAAGAAAAAGCCTCGGTTTCACCTCCAAAGATCATTTAAGATGCCAGAATCAATCCATGGACGTGTGTGCAAGACTGCTGATGGGAGGTAGGAAACAGTAAGCCACACAAACATGGCTAGCAAGGGCTTCTCCTTTTCTAAAATGTCAGCAAGCCTGGCAGAGGTATGAAATGAGCTGGCTGGTTGCCTGGGATGTGTTCAAATATCCATGCAGGCCAGTGAGACCTGAACATCAGAGGGGGATTGAGTGGTAAGAGCAGCCAGGAGACTACAGACTGCTGGCAAAGAAGGATTACCTAGCGAGGGTCTAACACTTAGGACTCTCGGGATTTTTAGAAAAGGCCCAGTCTAGCAGAAGAAATGGAGGTAAAACTAGATAAAGAAGAAGTTCACATATCAACACAGATGAATGTCACAAATCTTATGGTGTGAGAAAAACAAGTTGTGTATGGATACAAACAGTATGCTGCCTATTTGTTATTGTTTTCTTGCTCTCATATATACAAAATTGGATTAATCCTAACTCTAGTCCATGAGACAATCATCATTAATCCATGCATGGCATTTTTATTTCTCTATTTATTCATTTACTTACTTATTTTAATAATATAAAGTACTGGTAAATCTGCCACCAATCCCAAAGTTATGACCTCAAGGCATCCTCCATCCTAAGTACTATGCTCATAATTTCCATGGTTTCCCTTCTATATAGTTTTATCTCATCTGTATCTATTCCCTTACAAAACAATTCCACATAAGGTTTAAAGATACTTATGCATGTAGAAAATTATAAAGAAACATGTGACAATGATATATGCCAAATTCCAGACAGTACAGGGCAGAAAATGCAGAGGGGAAAGAAACGAACAGGAAGAAAAAGCAGAAGAGAGGGTGGGAAGGAGAACTATTTGTAATGAATTATTTCTTAAGTTGGATAGCAAGCACATGGGTGTTCATTATATTATTTTTACATATTTCTGGATGTCAAATATTTCATAAGTTAAAAAAGAAAACAGAGGGATGGATGAAATGACATACAGGCCTATGGAATGTCAGATCTTATAAATCTCTTGAAGTGGCCTTTCAGCTCCTCCTCCTCTTGGCACTACCATCAGCCTCTCTGAGAACACATCCACTGCTGGCGCATGTAGCACGGCTGAGTCAGGCTGAGGAACGCCCATATAAGCCCTGCCCTGACAGATGTTTTCAGGCTAACTTTCCCTCCTCTCTGCTTTATTTGCTCTTTCAGTCAGCTGGACAGAGTCAGAAATGCTCATTAATTTTTTATTAGCATTATACAGTTCAATTAAAACATTCTCATTCTACTGAATTGCCTAACATGACAACTTCTCAGCTGTGGGCTCCATACGAAGAATATTTTTTTGAACACCCACATTCCCAATCCTAAATCTTCATACTATGCAGTATACTGAGATTTTCAGATGGGCTGAGAAAGGCTACCTTGCAGGGTTCCCAGCATAGCTCTGTTAACCTCAAAGACCCAGGCAGGAAAATACAGATGTCGTTGAATTGCTTTTCAAAAAATAACAATCATGTTGCTTTTTTCCCTCCAATAATGATTGTTTATGTAAATAAGCAAAGAATATAGATGGATTCTGATCTATTGGGTGTCCCCGGGATCAAGTTCACAGAAGAGGAAGAGTCCAGCTGTACTAAGTACAAAAGCAGGACAAGCTAGGGAGAATGTATGAATGTAATTTATCTTGATCTCAGAAAGGTTTGAATTCTGCCTTACCGTACATAATACAATACACACAAACCTGGAAAGCCAGATCTAAACCACATATTCTCACTGGACCACATTGCCTAAAACAGGCAGCCTTAACTTCCTTGTTGCTAACTTTAGTCTGCAGCTTCCTTCCGCTCCGCCCCCATTCTGAGTTGGTGTGTCATAGTCATTGAGAGCTTTTAACACCTTTGCTAGTTCCCAAAAATAGAAAGAATATGCATGATCTTGAAACTACATTAAAAGCATCAATTAAACCTCCTATTGTTTCTTTAGGTATTTAAGGATGACAAGGAGCTAGAGAGAATTTCTGCTCCTGTAGTCGGGAAACAGGGCTAGAGTGATGTGTTACTAAAATTATTCCTTTGCCTGTTCTCTCTGGTCCTCCAGAGGGTTGAAAGTGAGTTTTCAGGCACTAGATTTGTCATAAGCCAAATGCAGAGATGTGATAAGGATAATTAAGAATGACCTACTAGTTAAGGAAGTCCAATCACAAAGATGTAACTAAGCCCATAAGCAGCATGGAACAAAAGAAAGAGCATGATGTAGTCTGAAGCCCTGAGTTTGATGCCTTGCTGCTTAACCTACAGCTGTATGATTATGGGCAAGCCAGTTAACCTCTCTGGGCCCCAATTTTCTGAACTAAGAAATGAAGACAGTTATCCTTATTCTGTAAAATAGTTATAAAGCTCTAATGTAAACATGTCATTTTTAGGACATGAGGCCAGACTTGTCCATCAAATACAGCCCTGAACTTTCTTGCTCCTGGGCCAGTGTTTCATAATCCTTTAAAATCTCTTCTGATAAACGTAAAAGAAAAACAATCTCACTACCTCTGTTAGCTCATTTAAACTTTCCAAATAATTCAAATATTGTGAGTAAAAATAAGTCAAAGCAAGAGTAACTCTGAATATGTTTTCAATTTACATAGCTACTCCACTGTCCCTGGAAATTCTATGTGCCCTTTCAGGACAGAGTGGTATTTGCCAGCCACTCACTAAAATAACAGATATATACTTGGTTTCACACTAATATCTGCTCTCTGGCCCAACCATGCCTCCTATTCCAATCCTAGCTTTCATGGTCAAATTCACACATTCTTCTTCCTCAAAGAAACTTTCCATGACTGCAGCTGCTAGCTCAAGCTGATGTGGCTCCCCTTCTCGAACTTCTAACACCAGTTGTGAAGATCCTGACATACTACACACTTGACACTTAGCTACCATGAGGCTCACAGCTTTTAGTTTTGCCTGCCCATTTAGGCTGTGGGTAGCACTCTATCTTCTTTGGTCTTGCTTCACTGAGAGGTTTTCCAGAGAAGAGCAGCTGACAAAGCCCTCCCAAACTCTGGTTGCCTGTGGTCCTATTGGAACCAGGCTGCCCATATGCCACTTGTTAATGGTAGTCTCAGTGCCTTCACAGGGACATGGTGAGCAAGTGCTCAAAACAGATGCTATTCGGATCATCATGACATTCCTGCCTAATGAAGTTTATCATTTCCAATAAAATGCCAGCCTTCCTCCTTTTCCTTTGTGCTCATCTGAATCAGGAGACAATAAGGGAGGTAGCTCCTCCCCAGGAAGATCCTGGCAGTCTGCAGATAGACACTCAGGCCGTGGCCCTAGTCTGTGGCTCCAGTAAGGAGTCTACTCTGTCCCTGATGTTACATAATTGAATAGCTGGGAACTATTTCAATTTGGCCTCATTGGGTATGCCTGGGGTTTAGCAGGACACTGCAGGATATTTTGTACAAATGACAGATGCCACAATCTGGGGAATTTAACTGTTTAGGATTGTAGCCTGCTTCACTTGTTTGTCAGTAAGGTCCTCCCTGCCCCTTTAGAGTTACTCTTCCCTAGCATTTTCTCTCCAGATCCTGGGGAAGGATGGGGCTTGGGCTGAGTTTATTTTGCTCACTACTATATTCCAGCATTCTAGAATGCATGCTTAATAATTACAATAAAATAATAACAACAATAATAATAGCAACAGTGGCCCCTTAAATAGCATATATTATATGGCAGGTACTGTCCTAAATGCTTTGCATTTATTAACTTAAATAATTCTCCAATGTAGGTACTGTTATAACCCCATTTGAGGAGGAACTATAGACAGAGAGCAGCTGAGAAGCTTTCCCAGTAATAAAATGCTTATACAGTGTATAAGCTGGTGGGAATGTAAATTAGTGCAGCCATGGTAGAAAGCAGTTTGGATATTTCTCAAAGAACTTAAAAAAGAACTATCATTTGATCCAGCAATCGCATTACTGGGTATATATCCAAAGGAATACATAACTGTTCTACCACAAAGACACATGGATGTGTATATTCATTGCAGCACTTTTCATAATAGCAAATACATGGAGTCAGCCTAGATGATGATGAATGATAGACTGGAGAAAGAAAATGTGGTACATATACACCATGGAGTAACACAAAGCTATGAAAATAAATCATGCCTTTTGCAGCAACATAGATGGAACTGGAGGCCATTATTCTAAGCTAATTAACAGAGGAACAGAAAACCAAATACCACATGTTCTTACTTATAAGAGGGAGCTAAATATTGAGTATGCAGGAACACAAAGAAGGAAACAACAGACACTGGGGCTTGCTTGAGGCTGGAAGGTGGGAGGAGGATGGGAATAAAATAACTACCTATTTGTACTATGCACATTACCTGCATGATGAAATCATTTGTGTACCAAAACCCAGAAACATGCAATTTACCCATGTAACAAATTTGTATATGTACCCCCTAAAGATGAAATAAAATTGGAAGAAAAAAAAAAAGAAATTTTCCCGGGAATAAAGGCTACTAAATGGTAGAGCGGGCTTTGGGTTCAGGTTGTCCAGCTCCAAAATCTCTGCTTTGGTTTAACCAGTGTGCTATATTGCCTCCAAATAAAAAAAGTACTGAATGAATTATTAGGAACACTGCATATATAGTAATAGTATTAATAACTAACATTTACTAACTACTTACTATATGCCAGGCACTATACCTGCATTGTCTCATTTAACCCTCACAACCTCCCTTCCTTGTAGATACATTGCCATTCCCATTTTG